TACCAAAATCAGAATTTTCAATACAAGTGTCAAGACAGTTGGAGAACTACCAAAGCCATCATCCAGAGGATGCAAGCATTCATTAACAGTTGTCCACGCAAGATACTTCGGATACGTTGGTCAAACACTATCAGCAACAACTTACTGTGGGAAAAAGCAAAGCAGATTCCAGTGGAAGAGGAAATCAGGAAAAAGCGGTGGAAGTGGATAAGACAGACACTGTGGAAAGCACCAAACTGCGTCACAAGACAAGATCTCACTTGGAACCCTCGATGTCAAGTGTAAAGCGGAAGGCCAAGAAACACATTACACATTACACTGAGAAATAGAGAAAGATAGGATAAAAATGAACAAAAATTAGAAAGAACTGAAAAGGAAAGCCCAGGATAGAGTAGGTTGGGGAATACTGGTTGGTGGCCTATGCTCCATTCGGTGTGACAGGTGTAAGTAACGAGTAAGCAAGTAGTAATAGAATCTTGGATGTATGTTTAGTCCTATTTTAGACTCGTCAGATCGATGTACCTACCACATACCAGAGCTGATATTCATTCCGGAACTGGAACTCAATTTTGTCCACCTCAAATGCTATTACGTTATTCATCTATCTACTCAGTCCGAATAACCACTGTTTTGTGTAATGACTGAAAATGTTATTTATACCATTATTCTATCACATCAAATTACAATTTCTATATTTGGTAGTCATCGCAACATATTATCTTGACTTTATTATTTGTATGTGTTACACGTTTAGTATATGCATGCAGACATGAAACGAAATTTCCTTATACATCTTGATCGAGCGTATTACTGAACAGTGAAAATTGAACAATCAAAATTGAACAATCAAAATTGAACATTGAAAATTGAACATTGAACATTGAATATTGAATATTGGACAGTGGATATTGTACATTGAACGTTGAAAATAGAACATTGAACATTTAATATTGAACATTGAACATCGAATGTTGAATATTGAAAATTGAACATTGAAAATTGAACATTGAACATTTAATATTGAACATTGAACATAGAATGTTGAATATTGAAAATTGAACATTGAAAATTGAAAATTGAACATTGGACATTGAAAATTGATTACTGAACGTTGAACATTGTACATTGAACATTGAAAATTGAATATTGAATATTGAACATTGAACATTTAACATTGAACATTGTACATTGAACATTGAAAATGGAATATTGAACATTGAACATTTAATATTGAACATTGAACATTTAATATTGAACATTGAACACTGAATGATGAATATTGAAAATTGAATATTGAAAATTTAAAACTGAATATTGAATATTGAAAATTGAACATTGAACATTGGACAAGCATACGTTTTTTAAAAAGAAATTCAAAACAGTGGTTCCCTTTAATAAATTTGAATAGAGAAATAAGAAGACATATTTTGTGAGATAGTACCATTTCGTGCTTTCTCGTCAGTCACATACAAACAACATGTTATTTTTGTAAATATAGTTTTGAAGATAAGGTCAAAATTTCTTATTTGGCATGACATCCACTCACTAGAACCATGGTAAACAAAGGTCAATATACAGTTAGTTGTTTTTGAACACATAAAGTTGGACTTTTCCGACCAATCAAGATAGCTTCGAGTAGTTTCAGTGTGTGTGGGTTTTGATTACATGTCACAACTCTAAAGGCTGATTTTCGGTCAATTTGATGACCACTCATCATTAGATGTTTTGCAATGGACGAGGCTGGGTTTCTTGATCGATTTTGAGATGATCGGCTAGGTTGATTAATCATGGATTTGATTAACCTTATCTTCAAAACTGTATTTACACAAATAACATGTTGCTTGTATGTGACTGACGAGAAAGCACGAAATGGTACTATCTCACAAAATATGTCTTCTTATTTCTCTATTTAAAAAAATAATTGGTAAAACTCTACAACTAATACTACAAAGTACATAAATCGATCAATTAATCAATCGTCTATTCTGTATTTAAGCCTTCTACTTCTCTCACTCTCACTCTATTCATTCTTCTAATGCTATTTTGAGCAGGAGTAATTTTGAATGAAAAATAAAAACATAATTTCATTTGATTGGTAATAATCATCAAGTAAAAACAAAAGTAGTAAGTAGTTCAAAACAATTCAAACAAACAATGACGATCAATATAAGTTTGTTTTCTTTTCATGATGCCAAAATATAGTAATTTTTATAGAAATTTTTTCGCATTAAATATCATTATTAATTTGTAAGTAGTATAAAGTGTTTGTGAACATGATTGAAACGTTTCCCTTTTTCTTAAAAAAAAAAACCTTGTTTATTGAAAATTCATATCGAAACCGAAACTCCGGAGTAAAATAACTTGATTTGAATAGTGTAGACACATTTTGTGTTCTGATAGATTAATGAGAATCACATGAAGAAAGGCACTGATGAAATATGGTTTACTTTTTTTCTTCAATCAATTCAATATATTTACACGCCTGATGAATATTTTCAAATTAAAAATTCTTAAATATTGATTACAAAATGCTTTATATCGAATTGACGTATTGTTATGCTCGTCACTTGATATGCTTGAATGCTATTACGTGTTCATTTTAGTTGATAAACGAGAACATGACAATGAACCAGTGACACGATAGGCTACTCTGATCCGTTGCCCCAACCAACTGAAGAAGAAGAAGTCTTGATATAGAGTAGAAAGTGTATTCTACAAACACCCAGCCAACACACAAATCGCATTTATTTATGCATCATAGAAATGTCCTTGGTAGAGTCACAAAAATAGCACACTAAAATGACACAGTTGAGTGTGCGATAGAAGAGCCAAGTCATCTGCGAAGTCCAGATCGTCCAGCTGCGTCCTAACTGTCCGGTTGATACCGTGCTTCCCTCCAGATGTTGAAGTTTTCATAATCCAGTCGATCACCAGGAGAAAGAGAAAGGGTGAGAGTAAGCAACCTTGCTTCATCTCGAACGAGTCTGTCAGCTGTCCTCGATGCACATTCTTGCAGTTCAACCCATTGGAATAATTCCGTTTGGTTTTGGCTAACTTCTGCAGGACATTGTAGTGTTGAAGAAGACTCCGGAATGTTGTCCTGTCAATTCTATCAAATGCTTTCTTGTAGTCAATGAAGTTGATGATTGTTCCACAATGATCCGTATGTAGCGATTTGGTCAGTAGACTATCAATACTTACGGAATGCAACCTGTTGATCTCGCAATTGGGCGTCTACGTAGTCCTTCATTCTGTTTAACAATAACCTGTTGAAGACTTTACCTGATATTGAGAATGGAGTGATGCCTTTGTAGTTATTACACTTGCTCAGATCGCCTCCGTTTGTTATCTTGAAGGAGTGTTCTTCCTTCCAGTCTGATGGCACTTGTACTTTCTCCCTAATCTTGTTGCAGAGAATGTGGAATATTTTTGCAGTTGCTTCCACGTCTGCTTTCGTTGCCGCTCCTGGAATATTGTCTGGTTCTGCTGCTTTGCCTCTCTTGATTTGTCTGATGGACATGCTGATCTCTTCAATTGTAGGTGCGCCAACATCGATTGGGAGGTCCATGGATGCTGCTTCGATGTTAGGTGGGTCCAACGGAGCTGGTCGATTCAAGAGTTCCTAAAAGTGCTCTACCCACCTGTTTCACTGATCTTCAATGTTGCTGATTACTTTGCCTTCCTTGCTTTTCACTGTACCTTATGGTTTAGGATAGTTTCCAGCGAGCTACTTTGTTGTATCGTACAATCGTGTCAACTTTCCTTCTCTTGCAGCCTTTTCCGACGTCATTGCTAGATCCTCCACATATTTTCGTTTGTCGGCTCAGAGTTGTGAGACATGTATATTATACATGCCCAAGATCAATGCTTTCCGGTAAACAACGATTTATGTTTCGAAGACGGGAAATTACCAGTGTTTTTGACTTTTGCAGTCAATGAAACTCAACTCTTCAATAACTTTGTGTTATGATGGGTAAAGTGCACTAGCGAGTCAACAAGTCACTTCTCTTCGTGAACAATTGAACTGCCTAAAAATATGGTAGAAACTAATAAGTGATCTGTGAGTTACCGGTTTCTACTAGAATTTCAAAGAGTTTATGTGGGAAATGGATGAATATGTCATGCAGCTGATACGCACTTCAGTATTTGTATTTCAATATTGAAAGAAACCGATGTGTTTGTTATTGAATAGTGAAGAATTGCACCAATTTCTGGTAAGTTCTTTTTATATGGAGATAAATGCTTTTATCTGATTTGTGGTTCATTTTATTCAATTTTCACTACTCTAGTGGCAAATACTCCAACCGAGTACCCTACAGCGATATATATCCGGATGAATTACCGGCTTACTATTTAGTCTGATGAACTTCTATGATCGTTTATCACATTCAGTGAGAATAATATTCAAACTATATTCAGTATATTCTAAAGGTTGTGCACATTTTTCATTTGTGTGATTGATTGATTCAGTAATTCATTGAGAATTTTCATTGTTTTTGTCAAAATTTCCTATTCCATTCATTCATATGAATTAAAGTTGACTAATTCAATTTGTTAATTGTTTCAAGTGTGTCTTGCACATTCTCTTGTTTTATCTTACATCTCTCGCTCTGTATAGCAATCTCATTATGGTTTCTACAGGTGAATGCTGTGTACAAGTAGGTATGAAGTTTATTTGAGAAGACTATTTCGTGATTGCCAGTATGTCGAGTTTAGTCAACATAAGTGAAATTGAGTATAACGCTATTATGAGTTTCGTATAATGGACAATTCGGTGGCTTACATATGACTGTAATTCTTCCTGTCCATATTTACACATCCTTCATAATGAATACTGATTCACAACCTCCATTGCAAAGATCTGTGACAAATGGGAATGTTGTGTACAGACATACTGACATTCAAGTTTAGCTTAGACCTATTCATTCCTTTGAATCTCACATTAGTTGCTGATTATCGAATCACACTTTCAACTACAGCTCTCACCAGCACCAATTTCAATGGAAGTAATGTTTGTAAATACAATTCATGAAACAATTACAGTTACGTATAAACTATTCAGCATTTTAATTCCTAAAGCAGGATTGTTGTTTGAACAAGTAAGTGATTCTGACAAACAGAAAATTGTATTCGTAAATTCACGCAGTTTAAAAGGACACGCAACCAGCGAATATGAAATTCCGATTGACAATAAATCTATTGGCAATCATATGTAATCATCCGTTCAGTGTAACCTATAACATCAGTACAGGTAGACTTGATAGCGTCCGAATTAGAATACACAGTTGAAAATGATGAAAATCAAACTGGTCCATCTACGACATAACCTCACGTAGTAGTGAACATATCTCTTTGTAAATTGCTACAGACTTTACCCTTGATTCGTGTCACTTACCAGTCACCACTTCCCACAACTCTCATCACACACCTGTAATAGCATCAATCAACAAACCGGACGAGTACGAGACAGGAGAATCATAATATGGAAGTTGTAGTCCCAAGAGATGAGATAAATTGTCAACTACAGCAAAGGATCATCATTTGTTACAATGAACCAATCATGTTACTTTCTATTAATAAGTAGTATTTTTAGAGAATAAGACAAATTCACGGCTCTGTTTAAGGTCTTCTCATGAACCAAAAGGGGACAACTCGTAAGTTATGTAAATATCAACGATGTTTTACATGCCAAGGATAAGATAACACTGAAAAACTTAAGTAACAGAAAAGGGCTACAAATTCTTAGTTTCAGTTAAATGTTGTGAAGTCAAATATAAAGAAGGCGAAAATGTCGTAAAAAAGTAATCGAGTTGTTATAGATGAAATGCACTGAGCAGACAATTCATTTTGTCCTGATAATCTTGTTATTCTCAGCTTATGTAGCTAAGCAGGGAATTCAAGTCATAAATAAATATGTATGTATATTGTTTACATCATACAGTTTCAAAGTGTTGACATTCAAACAATTTTCCAGACAAATTTATGTTAGTTGTTTGAAACTTACCGCTGACATTTATGATTACGATGAACCAGTCACTTTTGGTAAATGTGTCTGTTGTGTAGGTTGTCCCGATACTGCCATTAACTCTGGGACCCTAGACACATCCAGCTAACGCGTCCACAACAGGTTGAAATTCATGTCCTGGATTCCACTGATAGCTACCATCCATCTCAGTTTTTATAATTTTCCAGATAATTACATTCTGACGATATAAATTAGCCTTTCTGGCTTTGAATCCACGAAAATCATTTAAGTTTCATCATAGCCTTTTGATTTCAAACACTGTAGAGTTATTCGTATGAAAGCTTACTGAGTTTCAGTCAGTCAGTCAGTTACAACGTAGAACTTCGTACGTAAGCACATCAGTTCATGTTGCCATACAACATTAGCACATAGATGCAATTGTCAGTTCAAATCCAGTAGAGGTAATCAGGAAGATTAGGGTTCCAAAATATTATTCAAGAAGTATAATTCAGTGAGATAAAATTAGAAGTAGATAGGTAGAGGTGATGACGAATTGAGAAAATCAGAATTTCATAAAACATGGAGAGTGGATGCATCTGCGCCATTGCGAACGATTTTGAGCTATGTCGCTCAAGGTCTCTAACCATCAACTACTATCGTCTTGTGGACCCCAACCACAGCTTGCGCTTATCCTGACTTCGCTCTTCGTCATGTTTAGAGCCAGGCGCGATGTGTTTCCAAGCATCAGTCAGTTCGGTGGATGTCACTGAGATCTACGGCCTCTCCCTAATCTTATGATTTACCTTACTAGCTGATATGACCGCTATTTCCACAGCTTTTTGGATATCATTCCAAGCTGCCACAGGATGAGAATCACTTACATTGACGCCTAACTGTTTTTCTAGTTGTTCCTGAATTATACACTTACCTATGTTTTCATTAATTAGAACCTTCAGAGGTTTTCTTCCGGTATCTTTCCCACGTTGAATAAGCATACTGGAAGTATAAATAAATAATTATATTTAACTATGGTTACTGAGTGTTAATGTCTAACGTGTTTTGAAGACCAAAAATATGTAGCATAGAAATCGTACAATTCCAGTGAAATAAAACATGAGATTTCTCTTCATAAGACAATGGTTTACGGATTCACTGGAACTCTTGATATGTAACTGGATTTTTTTACGTGAAAAAGATTTTCAAAGTAGGTTCCAACCAACAACCAAATTTTAAATTAGTTTTTAAAGCTTATAGCATATAAGTCTGTGAGTTTATGAAAGAGCAATAAAAATTTCTTTGTTCTGAAACATTTATGTTTTTCTAAGTGCCCATAAAACTAAATAATAGAAGAGTAAATTTTAAATGTAAAACTGCATTTCTTTTACTACAATCCTCAGATAATCAATTGAAATTCGAATTCCCTAGAGGTATTCGTTGAGAGTGGATCTCAATTTGGAATGCTATTGAAATAATCATGAAGCATTCGATAGCTATGCGCTGGAATGGCTAAACAGTTCGTACTAATTGATCGCCTCCATACAACCGTCATATACATAAAATGCACATTAAAAAACAATATGACTTATCTCCAAATTTTGTAGGTGAATATTTCTGGCGTTGAATCAGTTCGTGTGAATGTGTTTAAGACCAGTTAGAATGAATGACTAATTCAAACAGAAATTTGAAGTATTTGAATTATGCAGATATTAAAAAAATCATTTGCATTAACAGTGCGGGATGATAAAAGAGTGTGAGAAGAATGAGACGTGGAGATAAGAGAGATGTTAGGTGGTCTAGGAAGGATTTGTTTGTAGCCAATTTGATCTCGCGTGCTGTTACAGGTATGAGGGCGGATGTCACTTCTCGGCTGCCCACACCGTCGAAGGGTATTTCTTGAGGAACCTGAAAAGGAAGGCAGCTTAGTGTTGGTCTTAGCGAACTGGGAGCGTGACTTCAGAGTCCAAGGGACAGCTGCTTGAGGCCCGTCATGCACGGCCTTTTCATGAGAAGTTTTTAAAGTACTAGCTCCGCTCTTCCGTGAGGTAAGATGAGGTGTGATATTTTTTGGGTCGACCTTCTCTAACCCCTTCCTTCCTTGTGATAAGGCAGCATCGCTGCAGATGCTGGTTATCCGAGGTAAACACCTTACTGCTATCACACCCTTCTACAGTCAGCAGTACAACTTCGCCCTCAGACCTTGAGTAGCTGCTTATAGTCTCACCGTCTTCCCACTAACCTGCCAGGCATGGTAGGACCAACAGGAACATATGTCCCAGCCAGTACAGCTCGGCTCAGTCATCACGATAGGCAAGCCCGACTACCACGTCAAGGTAGCAGCTACGGTCGGGGTATAATTACTGAACGACATGGTTCAAAATCGTTTGCAATGGCACAGGTGCATCCATTCTTTGTGTTCTCACAAATTCTAATCTTCTGAATCCCTCGTCACCTATATCTTTCTCTTTCGGAATTCACTTCACTGAATTATGCTTCTCCATTACCTCTAATACTTCTGCTATCTCTACTACTATGTGATTTGAACTGTAAATTGCGTCTCTGTGATAATGTGGTATAGCGACTTGAACTTATGTACTTAAATACTAAGTTCTACGTTGCGACCAACTAAGTGACTTAAAAAAAAATCGGCACGATGGTTTTACAGCATAAATCAAATTTTGACAGAATAATCTACCTATTTTTTTTAATGTAACTGACACTTTCCAAAGTGCTTAACAAAATCAAACAGCTGATTTTTGATTGTCGTAAAGTAGTTCTCTAACTTTCTATCACTTCTCTCACTTTATGATCTAGATAGAGAATATATACCTATATAAAACAACATGTAAATATCATTCATTACTCAACCATTTTATCAATGTTTGCATTGACTGCTCACATCGTATTGTATTTTATTATTATTATTATTCTACAATCGATCGCACAACAAACCAATGAAGAGTTGGAGATTTTTCGAGTTCATAACATATTTAGGAAATCATTGAAAGCTTTGTATTCTAATGAAATAGGTGAAAGATTCAAAGATTTTGTATGTTAATCACCTTATTCATGTTGATTAATACTTTAACTCTCTTAATTTGTAATCTCAATCACAAAATCCAAACAATCGGTTTCATATTTTATTATAGATATGGGATAGTGAATTGGCAATGAAAGCTAATGAATTGGGTGCTAAACTGTGTACAAACAATCATAGTAATCTAGACATGAGAAATACAATGCAACGAAAATGTGTTCATCAAAATGTTATAGTATCGAATGACGACTATTCAATGTAAGGAACAAAATTACTAATGTTAAAATATAATTGTTTACACTTAGTGCTGTCTTATCATGGATGATGGAAAGTCAGTATTATAATATTGAAACGAATCGATGCAATGTAGTGAATGGTTGTGAAAATTTCCAAAATGTAAGTTGATCGATCGGGGATAAAAAAAAGTGTTCTTTCAAAGTATAAAAATGGATGCATTTTTATTATTCATAATTGTGGTGTACGCTACTTATGTTCACGTAAGTAGTATATGATATCAAATGGAAATAAAAAGTCTGACAGAAAAACATCGAGAAGGAAAGAATGAGAACAGAAGGCGATTTGTAGATAACGTAAAGTGAACTGAAGTCTGAACAGTTTAAATGAAAGAACACTGAAATCTGAAACAAATAAGGATTTTTCGTTTGCAAATGATGATTTCACGGGAAGGTTTTGTACATATGCTTAACAACTCTATAATATTCGCTTAAATATAGATGTTAATATCCTCACCTGGGTTATCGTGCACAACAATAATATTTTTTATTCAATACATATGTTTATCATTAATCTTTCTAGATGATTCTACCAGGAACAGTTTATCTGGGATGTGGTATTCATTATTGTCCACAATTGTCAACTACTGAAAAACAGCTGATTGTTTGTAATTATTCGCCAGAATAACATTTATTATAAGTAATAAAAATATTTTTTCCCCAAAAAATGTGTTGTTTTTTTTATTACGAAATAATCATTTTCTCGAGGAAACTTGTAAGAATGAATGACCATGAAATTTTAAGTTCATTAGTCAAATAACCAATTGGGACATTAACAGAACATTAGGATAACTATTTTCTTGCATCTCAATAAAAGTGTAATTTTCATGTTCCAGCATTTAGACTGAGTGAATATAATCAAGTAGTCAGACTTACAAAAGGCCTGTAGATTTCACAATTAAGTGTCCGCCGAATTTATAGTTCGGCTGAACCAGTCTGTTGAAAAATTTCCCCGATACTGACAGAAATCTAATGTCTCAATAGTTTTCATATCTACTAGGATCTCCTTTATTCGGTATCTTCTTGAGTTGTCATTGTTTTCAATCTAGTAGTACTGCGGTGTGTGCTACTTATACGAACGATATAAGTAGTATAAGAAGGGACGTGAAAGAAGAAGTCTCACGGTCAGAAGAGGAAAACGGAAAGCGAATGGAGCAAAAGCAAGGAGTAAATGGAGTACGAACAGGAACGAAAGGAATCTACAACAGGAATGGAAGAAGGATGGAACGTTGGAAGTCACGACTCAAAGATGGTGTGCAAATAGAGTGTTCAATGTAATGTTTTTGTTTTTAATTGACTCAGAGTGTAAATTAGCATATGATGGTCATGAGGATTTCTTCAATTGTTGACGGGTTAACATCGATTGGAAAGTTCGCGTGCGCTGCTTCGATGAAAGTGTGGTTCAGTGGGAGTAATCTACTCAAGAGCTCATCAAAATGCCCTACCCACTTGTTCTGCTGTTTTTAGATCTCATTTATCGGTTCTCGTCCCCTGACTTTGAGTGGTCGTTCGAAGAACTGTATTTTTTTAAATTACTTCTTTGTTGTATCGTTTAGTCCAGTCATATTCCCTTCGGATACTGATTTTTCTGCCGCCGTTGTTAGGTCTTCCGCATATTTCAGCTTATCAGCCCTAATGTTACTCGTCACCTGCTTGTTTGTTTCTGTGTATTAAGTTTACAGACTGACTTTCTGTGTTCTTGTTTCGTTGTTATTGATTACAGTCTTCCAGTTCTTCCTTTCTTGAATCTTATCCAGAGTATCTGCAGAGATCCATTCCTTGTGACGGTGCTTCTGGTTGCCGGAAACCTGATGAAATTTTGAAGTTATTGCTTCTTTAATCCCTTCCTAGTTGTTCGCCATTGTTGTTTCTTCTTCAGTGAGTAGATCGAGTAAGGCTTGGAATTTGTTACCGAAACCTCTTTTGAATTCGTTGAATCTGTCAGTATCTCGAAAAAGTTTGTATTAAACTCCTACCTGCCCAGTTTTCCAGTGTTTCTTTCTCTTGAATTTCACCTTGGGCACTAGTGGGTGTTGATGTGAAGAAAACTCAGCTTCTCTCTTTGTTCATAAGTCTCCTATGGTCCCCCTGAACATTTTGTTCATACTGATGTGATCGATTTGGTTCTTTGAAGTGTGACTCAGCGAAACCTGTGTCACTTCGTGTATGTGTGTGTTAGTTAAGGAATATGATCCCACTTAAAACTATTTTGTTGAAAGCCCACAGATTTATAAATCTCTCTCCTTTTCCGTTCCTTTTTCCCAACCCATTTCATTCGATGACATATTCATATCTAGTGTTGTCCATTCCGAATTTGGCATTTAAGTTTCCCATCTGGATGTTCAGATCATTTCTTGCAAACTTCTGTACAATCTACCTGGGGTTCTGATAAAATTCATCACCATCATCATCATCATCATCATCATGCTCCTTGATGTCTTTGGTAGTAGTGTTGGAATAGATGACAGTCATTGAAGTTTTTAAGTCCACAACTTGAAGATCAAGGTGAATCAGCGAAATTCCCAACATTTAGTATCGTTTACAACTTTTTGAACCACTTTGGAGCAACTAATCATTTACGAAGAGAATTTTTTTCTTTATCAGCCTAGCACAAAAGCTATAAATGCATAATTATCATCTTTTATTAACCTAAATACATAGTCATATCATTAAGTTGTGCGTGAATTGTACTATGCTAAAATAGTAACATTTCACATTGTTCAAAGCTAAACAAGTTCATACAGTGTTAATCGTAAATTCGATAGATTGTTTGACAAGGGGATAGGAAAAGACAATATACGGTGTTCAATGACTGTGAATTTGATAAGCTAAAATCATGTGAATTTAGTGCATAACATACCGTGAGAAATGTTAGTTGAGTTAACTGAATTAACTGAAAAAGTTGAATGTTATATTAAGAATGGTACAGAGTGGATAAAATGACCGAGCGGGTTATGTGGTAAACTGATTTGTAGTATACGTACAGTCTAGGAGTTCGAGGACAGATTCCTAGGCTATAGTCAATATTGAGGTTGAAAAAAAACCTATTTTTGACGTATCAGGAGGTTAGCTGGAGTTGATACAGACAATTCAACTTGTATAGAGTTAGTGTAATCATGCACCAAACAGCATCGTGTCTCACTTTGCTGATAGTAACGATCATATCGAAAGAACAGAGAAACGTCTGTGTTCTGTGGGAACTACTGAACAATCTACCAAATGTACAAAACTAAGAATCCATTTGACATATCTGAGTATATTGGATTCAACTCCGAGAAATCTTACCCATTTATCAAGAATATCTAACTACGTTTAACATGGAAGTCACAAAGTCAATATTATTCACAAGATTGTCTGTTAATGATGGAATCTAATAACCAGTGGAAAGCAAGTGAATGAAGCTTTGAATAGTAATTGATCGACATGAATTCAATGAATTGTCTGAAAGAATGAAGCACTGATCACATGCTGAAGAATCAACGGAAACTCATGAAGATATGAAGTGAAATGCCAGATGAATCCGAGTATTGGAAACACTACAAACTCGTCATGGTTCTATAAATATATTGTTATGAAACGGGGTGTGTTGTTGTACCACTGTTGACTAACTGCAGATGTCCAGTACAAAGTACTGTTATTCAGAAATGAAATGGTCTTATTGCAATACCTAAATCTAGAATATTAATTTTCACCATAGTAATAATAATAATAATAATCGAAATGATATTTGCCCAACACTCACCTGATTGTCCATTGTATACCCTGCTTCCACTGAGATGTGGAAGAAAGGGAAAGCATGTTGATAATCAACCTTGTCTGACACCGGTCTTCACTTGAAATGTATCTGTCAGGTGCTTTCCATGCAAGATTCCGCATCGCATTGTGAGAGTTTTGTATGATGATGAGAACCTTCACAGATAGTCGTAGGGGTTTCATAAAGTTCTCTTATCCATGTTACTGTAGTAAACAAAGTTGCAGTAGATTGATGATTTCCATATTTGTTGCGGTTAAGGTTGTAAGACGAATCATCAACATTGTGATTTCTTTCATTATGAGACCATCATCAGTCTTCTCAGTGAGCTAATTTTGAGTTCAGCCTTTAACATCAACAGAGGAATGAGTCATACTACCATGGATTGTCGGAAATCACTATCTCGATAATTAATGTAGTAAACTTCAAAGTTAGCGATACTAGGTTTGAATCTAAGTGTAAATATCATCACGAATGCATTTATGCACAGATGATGAGTCCTAAACAAGAAGTAACACATGTTTGAGAATCTCCTACCGGACAAACTAATCACATTCGAACGAAATAGTAAAGCTGATTATTCACACACTGATGTTTAAGGAAGTGTTACTGTTAAGGTTAGCCGCAGTAGTTGGCAAACGGTAAATAAAAACTATCCATTCACAGTCCCCTTAAAGAACGGGTTAAAGGATGTGCAATACTAGAAGTAGGTAGATAATAGCAATTCATAAACCATTGTTAGCATTCGTAGATGACAATCTAGAGACTACTTGATTGTCAAGCTGTTCCACTGAAACGTACATCGTTCTCCTGCACAGTTGAAAGATACACAAATTAGGAATACTCAATTATGGACATGAGAAGATTACGTACGAAATCCTACTGGTAAAATTTTTCGATCAATCATCAATACCGACTAAGGATTTCAGTCATCAATTACATCCTCACATAAGGATAATAGTAAAACAAGAATAAATACGGTGATGCGATTCGCGACTATATATGAATTCACGATCACGAAATTCACACCATTCACAGTGAATCTAGTAAGAGTTGTTGTTCTGTGCTTAATGTTGGAATTGAAAAATGCATTCCTCTATTTGTTCAACTTGTTTCGTCCATATAGTAATAATTGTAGTTTTGATTTTGTTATTCTATCTGTAAGATTACTCAAACCACTTGTGAGTCATCAGTTCCAATGTAACCAAAACTGCCTTTCCACAAGCAGCAAATCCAAATACACTAATTAGTCTTGTTTCTGACTTTTTTTATTTCATTAGAAATGAGGTAACGACTTAGAAAACAATGTCATGAACTCAGCGAAACAGTGCAAGTATGAAAGTGAAAATGCCAATGGAAAGAAGGCTGTATGATGGAAGTCAGTTGGTCAGAGTAAAAAATGTGTTATGCTTGCACGTAAACACACCAACTTGATGTACTTGAACTATTGAGAGTTACCTAGTCAGAAAACGAGAGTGAGGATCGAGGATCCGGCGACACAACATGCTACCCAAATCCAATTATCCCAACCCCCATATTTAGCAAAAATAAGAAGACATGGTATGAAGTGGAACCTGTAGTCTATAAGAATCCAGAAAGTACGAGGTCCGAATACAGAAGAGAATCAGGATCCCGGACCGAGCCCTGGTCCTGGTCGTGGTCATAAAACGTTACAGATAATGCGTATTTATACATTTTGGTCGAATAGGAAACAGCATCAAAGTCTGTGACATTGACAGTTAAGACGACCAATAGGAAGCAATATTTGAAATGACATTGATAGTCAGGACAACCAATAAGAAACAACATTGGATATCTAGGATGACCATAAAATTGACCAGTAGCAATTAACCAATAGAAATTGACCAATAATTGTCTTAGTATATTGGATGAATATCCTAACAAAAAGTAACTTCAAAAAATGTCAGAATGATCCTTAGTTTTAAAATCGACTGAGTCAAAAAATTTTCTTTCATTTCTGTCATATGATGGTTTGTTGTTTCCACTGAAATGTTCGAAAACGTTGTTTACCAGATAACTTAACGGTGTTCAGTAGTATCATAGTGATATTATAATTCTTGCCACAGATATTGAGTTGCGTAATCATTGTGTTTTGAAGTTGCTTAGACGCTCTGCTGATATGAATGTCTCCATAAACCTATCCAAATATCAGCTCTAATTCAGTTGCATTGACTACACTGAAGGTGCTAAGGTTTCATGTCCCCGATATAAGTCACTTCGCCTCATTGCTTCAGGCACCGTTACCAATGGATATTCCAGTATTCAGGTTTCTAGGTTGGCACTCCACAATTCCATGCCATATCTATCCTTAACTTTAAACAGCTATTGTCTCACTTTTTTTATTGTACATGAAGATACGGTATCATGACTAGAATTATGCACTCAGTAAAGTTAAAAGCACTTATCATTCAATATAAACACTGCATTCGTCTTAGTTTTAATACAAGTCTGGAGTTCAGTAATTTATCAGAAGTCTTCTAAGCATGTTAATTCAATATGTATATTGAACTTTGTACATTATTTGTTTTCTTTATTCTATAGATATGACTTTTGCAGATTTTTGACTGTATTTGTTTCTCTGCTAACTATTTCATGTTTGCTCATTAGTGACTAGCTTCATGGAGAAGCTTCTCCGAGTCCTAGTGAGAAGTCGTGACCAGTGAAGTTCAACCCACTTCGACTATAAAGCAGTGCTCACCGAAGACAGTCGATGAGGTTGCGCAAGACCATTAATTGATTGAAGTTAAACATCAACTTCGTTAGATGCCGGCTCTGTGGACTAGAGTGTGGAGGTTCATGTACAAAACTTGAGGCTCTGAGTTCAAATCCTGCGAGTAGTGAGAGTCGTGAATGCGCACGCTGATTAGTCCCATACCAGAACAAAACAGTCGTCCAGTGCTGCCAGATTTCTAATATTGGTCCAACATTGATCGATTCATGATCTCAAAAAGCATTTCACGTTAACTGTCGTTTCTCATGAACTATTCTTGTTAACTAATCCAGTAAAATTTGAGAATTGTTCTTCAGTATCTCAAATGTTAGTATTTTCTCACACCTTTTATTTAATTTTACATCTTTTCTATCAACTGGTGCATGTTAACTGTTAATATTTCAAAAATACTACAAATTTCTGTTTTAAAACGATTATGTCAAAGTAAAGTTGTGTATTCACAAACAGAAAAGACAATGGAAAATATTTCGAAAATATCATCCATGCCATCAGCATATATTGGAACAATTATTCTTCCAACACTCAGATCTACATAACTAAACCATTTACATTTTCATTGTTTAGATGTCTCAAAAAAAGGAAATCATTGACCCATCAGTAATGATAAAGGCTTTAGATTTGATTTTGATATGGACAAAAAGTCAAAAGGTTTTATTGCTTTTCGTGTAAGGGTATGAATTCTTCTACTTCTTTTCTTTATGAGTTAAAATGGTTGGTATATTTCAGCCTATGTCCACTCTTAACTATTAGCTTTAATTTTTACCGACGATTACAATCGTTAACTAGTTATCCTTTGAGTTATTAAGTTTGAATAGACTGTTGGGGATGTTATATCCCCAAAACTCACATGATAGAGGTCCTAATTTTGTCATATATTTCCAAAATTTTGAATTTTTCTGTTTTCGCGCCAACAGACGCTTAGTTGATCGACAGCTTACATTTCCCCCTCGAAAAATCCTTGACTGTCATTGGTTGTGGCTCTCCTAAGGGCCTTTCTATCTTTTTATAAATAAGCTTCATTTGTATGCTTACCAACCTCGTATTTTCTGGGTACTTGTAGAATACATTCTCTACGCCTTATCAAGACTTCTTGCTTTTATTAGCAGGGCCTGGGACAGTGGAAAAGAATAGCCTATCGTGCCACTGAGTCACTGCTTTCGTTCCGACTACCGAGTAAGATGAACTCGTAATAGCATGCGGGCAAATCACAGACTGACGGTTCTCAAACAGGACGAAACGAGTGTCCTGAATTTCGCTGCTAGTCATTAATTTATATCTATCTAAATATAGGCTTGTGATTCATGGCAATATCGAGGTAATCCTTTTAGTATACCCATATGTTAAAAGTTACTGATCAGTTGCATTCCCTGTATACGTTGGATGCAAATAGCTATTAATAGTGTGTTTAGATTGGAAGCAAATAAAGTAAAACCCCTCAAAATTAATAGAATTCATCTTATTCTGTCATATACATTGCGTGTACTATGGTCATATATTTTAGTGAAGTTTACATTGAAATCTATAATGGGTAGTTGTTTACTCAACTAATTTTACAGGCAAAACTTTATTTAAATCATTCAAATGCATTCATTTTCCATCGTATATTAAATTTGATTACTTTTTTTTGATATTTCTCATCTTATCATTTCATTCATTCTTTTTAAATGCTCACAAGATCAAAGGTCCTGGGTTCGAATCCTGCGAGTACTGGAAGTCGTGGATGTGCACTGCTGATAAGAGTAGTCCCATCTCAGGACGAAACGGCCATCTTTTAGTGCTTCCAGCTTTTTAACGGTGTCTGATCATTATTGATTGATGATTTCAAATGCGTAACTTAGCAATCTTCACAACCCGTTAATGCAATCAATCATTTACACTCCGTACATGTGTAGTGAAGGAGAACACAGGTGAGGGCAACCGAATTATATTTATCTCAAATTACAGAGTTACTCAGTAAAATAGGAAAACCATATTGTAAATCGTTAATTTGCAAAATATCAATCCATCATATCGAACTGGACTGTTGTTCCTGTTGCAAACAACATCAATCCATTGTCTGACATTTCACCACTATTCATGCGTTTCATACAAATCCCATTTTTGTGTTCCCACTCTTCTTCCTTTCTTGATCTTCCTCCACATCTTCTGCTGCCAAACATTAATTACATTTTTACTCGCGTCATATACTACTTATAAGTAGCTTGCACCACATATGTAGTTCATTTCCTGGTAATAACAGAATTGGACAATTTGAACTAAAATGTATTTGTTCCAATTACTGTCTATATATCAGTTACAAATGATTGACTTTTACAATTCAGTGTCATAAATAAAAAAAAAGAATTTATCTTCAAATTTTTTCAAAATGGACAGAAACCATTTTGTACTTTCCTAACTTCTACAACTAAACTTTCTTTCAAAGAAATAGATATATAGTTAACAGTAAAAGGCATATGTCATTAACAATGTAGTTATTGACTTTGTATGATTTACATTTATCACAGCAATATATATATATAAATATAAGCGATTACTATCAAACTAAAACTTGATTAACTTCTTTTGATATACAATGATTTCATCACTATTATTAGTAGTATTAGTATTATTATCATCGTCGTCATTTTTGATTTCCTCTGCGTTTGGAAGTCAAAATCAACAAATTATACAATACAAAAAATTATTATTATCACATCATAATTATATAAGACAAACAAGAAATCAATGTGATTATAAATGGAGTGTACCGGCTGAAATAAAACTTAATGATTTAGTGAGTTGAGTTCATTGTGTTTGCACAATAATACATCATAACTTTTTATGCTAAAGTGTTAATTTCATTTCAATATTATTTATTATTTTGATCATATCGTCGTAGGTTTATAGGTGATAAATTTTTGAATTAAATCTTAGATAATGGTTGAAAAACTAAGAAACACAGCAGAGATCTGTTTAATCCTAGCATGGGACTAGTGTTGACTTGTGTGACTCCTCTAGAAATCAAACCTACAGACCTTTAGATCCTAGTGTGAGCCATTGATTTTTCGACAGGGGATTCTTGAAGTCCTAGTGATAAGTGAAAGTGCAGTTTACGTACCTAAAACATTAGATGATGGTTACTCAGTCAGTCAGTCAGTCAGTCACTTGCAACGTAGAACTTCGTACGTATGTACATAAGTTCAGGTTCCCATACCACATTAGCACAGAGACGCAAATGTCAAATCAAATCCCATAGTGATAAAGATAGTAGAGGTATTAATGGTATTAATGAAGAAGACTAGGGTTTGAAGATATTATTTAAGAAGTATAATTCAGTGAGATAAGGTTAGATTGACAAAGGTAGAGGTGCTAACGAATCCAGAAGATTAGGATTAGAGAGAGATCAAAGAATGGAAGCACTTGCGCCATAGCAAACGATTCTGAGCCATGTCGTTCAAGATCTCTAACCATCGGTGACTTTCGTCTCGATGGTTACTCAGTACTACCAGTTAATTAAAGTTTGATAGCAATATCATTGAATGTCAGTTCAGTGACCTAGGGTTTACTTACTGTAAGACCTGGATGTTCTTTCTGGGTTTGATTCTCTACAGTATCATGGATAAGTAGTACTGATGAAGAATTTAATAATCAAACTAAAATACTGTCTAGTTCTTCCTTGTTTTTTTAATGCTTATTTAAGGCCAATCCATAATGCTGTGGTGTGAGCTACTTATAAGTAGTATATGACGTGAGTGTCAAGGTAGTGTCTGGCAGCAGAAGATTGGGGAAGATTAAGAAAGGAAGAGTTAGAAAACAATGGAATTTGTATGAAACGCATGTATTGTGACAATGGATTGATGTTGTTTGCAACAGGAACAGTCCAGTTCGATATGATGAACTGATATTTTGCAAATTAACAATTTACGATATGGTTTTCCGATTTTACTTAGTAACTCTGTAATTTTCGGTTGCCCCACTTGTGTTCTCGTTCACTACAATGCACAACTGTAAATATTCACTGACGCATCAACCAACCACTACACTGAATATTTTTTCTCTTTCTAGATATGGGATGATGGACTAGAAGTAACCGCTCAACAATATGCTGAACAATGTGAAAATTTACCAAGTCATACACATGAAAGAACTACATGTCGATGGAAGTCAGTTGGTCAAAATACTGCACATGTTTATTCAGTGCCAGAGTAAGTTCCCTGCAGTTATTGACCATTGACCATTTTTTTCAAGTACTATCAATGTTTGGCGAAATAGTCATCGTTTTTATAATTTCCAAAATGATGAATGTCAATCCGGGCATAATTGTTATGTATATAAACAAGTAAGTGTATATTTATGTAAAAATGTATTTTATTGATTTTTTTTTCTATTATAGGTTGTAAACATTAACACAACACATATTGGATGTGGAATTCACTTGTGCTATGATTATGTGAAACAAAGAAATAAATATATGGTTGTATGTAATTATGCTCCTGCGTAAGTAATCGATTTTTTATAGTATATCTAATTCCAGTATACACCGAAATTGGAAGTTTGCATTAATTCTTTACGAAATCTAATTGAATCCATTCTGTCTGTACACATATACATATAGACAGACTCTTACACATTTGAAATCATCAATCAATCATTGTTAGACCAACATTAGAAACCTGGAAGCAATGGACGGCCGTTTTGTCCTGGTATGGGACTCGTCATTGGCAGTGCGCATCCACGACTCCTGCTCCTCGCAGGATTCGAACTCGGGACCTTGGGTATTGTGCGCGAACGCCTAACCATCGGACCACAGGGCTGGCGGCATCCAACGGTGTTAATGTCTAACTCTGATTGATCTAGGGATTTTGGTAGTTACTGCCTACACCCGACAAGGTTGAACTCCAAAATGGTCACGTCTTCTCAACTAGAACTCCTAGAATTTCCTCACGAAGCTAGTAGTCACTAGTGAGCACTGTTACGATATTTTTGGGCAGAGCTTTTTGGAGGTTTGTGTTGTTTACACATTTGAAATCATCAATCAAGGACGAAACGGCCGTCCAGTGCTTCCAGGTTTCTAATGGTGATCTAACAATAATTGATTGATGATTTCAAATGTGTAAAAAACACAAACCTCCAAAAAACTCTGCCCAAAAATATAGATTCTTGTCAAATATTCCCATGTTAGCCAGTTTTATGAACTTTTCAGTATTTGTATATATGTGTAGTTATGTCTAAAGTTCAACTATAAGTTGTTTAGTCACATACTTCTCCTGTGTCTGATTTATTCGTTTATTTTAACATAAAAAACAGTTAACAACATTTGATTAGGGTAGTTATCTTTTAGCTTCCAGCCTATAAAAGTTTGAAGTTTTTAAATTCCATTATGTACGAAATCGAGAATATGCGTTAACAATGAATGACAACCTGTAATAAAACAACTTTTCAATGCATCCTACTATTTTGACTAGTCTCTTTTGTAAATTTGTATTTGGTAAGCTTTCTACAAACGTATGTAAAACGATTGTATTACTTTAAATCGTAGTTCGAATTTTCTTTGTTTTTCTAGTGGTTATTATGGAAATCAATCTAGCCATTTGACTGGTTAATGTTTTAATGTCATAAAAAAGTTCTTTAAATTCCTAGTATTTCTGTTCAATCTCTCAATGAAACTGATGCATAAACGTGTCACACATGTTTTTCTAAGCAATTGAGTCTTTCTTTCTTTGGTTAAATTGTCTTACGTTACCATTGATAAAACTTTTGTGTTATCGTGTTTCATAATTTTCTTACTACTATCAGTACACCACTGTCTTCCTACTATCAACTTGTACTTTTGCCTATCTATTTCATTTCACTGTGATGATTGACTCGAACTGCCTGGATTGGTTTAACGTTGTTCACTTATATATGTTGTTCTACTGAAGTAGTTGTATTTGTAATCAGTGCCTATCCATTGATTCAGATCAGTCTAAAAATCATTGAGAGTTAAAAACCAAAGCATTTTTTCTTTGATTATCTGAAGTGGTTGGTTATATTTGACTAAACATAAAATTGAACATGAGACTTTCGGATTTAAAAACTGCATAACTAGAATCTAACTTGGATGTCAATAAGTGATGAGAATAACATTTTTAGATGATCATTTGTTTGAACTTACAATTTTAAGGCACACATATTTTATTTTCAGTTAGAGTTTTGGAGATTTGTGTTTTTACTCATTTTTCGAAATCATCAATCAATCATTGTTAGACCAACATTAGAAACCTGGAAGCACTGAAAGACGGCCGTCAAGTCCTGGTATGGGACTACTCATCAGCGGCAGTGCGCATCCACGACTCCTGCACCCCGCAGGATTCGAACCTGGGACCTTCGGTATAGTGAGCGAACGCCTAACCATCGGGCCACATTTCTAAGTTTTAACATTTCTTTTTTTTAGAATTCATGTTTTATTTTTTCAGTTATTCAAATTAGTTCAAAACTATTTGATTTAATCAAGTTACTGAAGTATAATTTGACTGAAATCAAATTGATCAAACAGTATTTCTCTTTTCTTTTCACCTGCCCTAATTTCAAATATTTGTTATTTGTGGTAATTTTTAGGGCTGACAAAGGAAGACCATACAGTGATGGAACAAATACAAGATGTAAATTTTAACAACAATCAACAATTAACAAGATTCGAACATTTTTTTATGGTAAATTTCAAATGATTTAATATATATATATATATATGCTGAATAAAAATGGTGTGATTCAATAAAGTCTTTATTTCTCTCGAATCATCATTTTTGAGTACCTATTTTTTTTGAAGTGGCGGTTAAATTTTAAAAGTTGATATTAGATAAAAACGCTGGATGACACTAATAATTGTTGAATATATTTTCTGTTATACAATCCAATAAACATTAAACATTGTAGAATCAGTTTTAAATATGATAATGAAACCTTTAGTAATAAACTGAGCTGTAATAAGCTGTGAATGCTACGTAAGTAAACAGTTTCCTCACAAAGTAAACAACATTTGTCATGAGAATGGAAGGTTTGTGCAAAATCAGCATAGTTGAAGTCAGGTCCTAGAACCAGATAAAGGAGGAGGGTTGGGTATGAGGTAAGCAACCCCATCCAGTGGAAAATCAACTCGGTAAAAAAACGCTAACCAGAAAAAATAATTCAAACCATTTTATCTCTGCCTTTGGAGTCTATAATATTGCGTGACCTCATAAATTGTGTTTGATATGCAACTGCCTTGCATTCGACACGGTTGAACTCCATTGGTCACAGCTTCGCACTAGAACTCCGAGAACCTTGTCACGAAGCTGGGTACTGGTGACTATAAGAAAATTCATGTTACAGAGTTGTGAATATTATCGATCCTCATTTAAATCATGATTCGGCTGATGTTAGACCACCATAAGAAACCTGCAAGCACTAAAGTTAAACCGTGTCTGGTTTGGGGCACCTTAACTCTGTGTGTAATGGATAAAGTCCATGGACTGACTGAGCTTAGACACTAAACAGGCAGAAATAGGTACGTTTGAGTATATTAACACTTCTTTGCTTTCAGCAGTACTGGTCTATCAACTAGTTTTGAAAGTGTTCTAGTCAAAATAACAGCATAGAAAACTTCAATGAATGGTGGAAGTACGGTTTTCTTGCAAGTTAGAAAACATTTACAGATATTATTCCCCCTTTAATAACTACAAACAGTTTTCAGAATGCAGAACAATATAAACAGAAACTCGTGTTCATCTTTTGGCAGTGACCTTATACTATGATGAGCAAACCATAAGATCTCTTAAGATCATATGAAATGCATGGAGTAAGCGCTAGTCTAGTGAAACCACGAAAACCTGAATCCGATGTTTTAAAAGCTCTTGTGATAAAAGTATGGTAAAATGAGGGCGCTGTAACTTCAGCATCTGGTTAGTTTACATTCAACCAGAAGGTACCGTTTTTGCTGGGGTAGTTTGTGAAGAAGCGTGTGAGGTTATCTGGAAGAGGAAAGAACAGGATAAGAAGGAGAGTCAATGACTGAGTAAGCGCACACTTGCATTCAGTAGAGAAATTGATTGACAGCCACCAGAAATAGCGTCATCATGAGATCAAGAAAAACTGACAAACGAAACTAAAAATGTAAGAGCAAAGTTTTTAATGCGTCACAATAGCGCTTATTGTATTATGTGTGAAATTTAAGGTCCACGGATGTATGTTTTTATTAAAAAAGTAAATATCGACGGTATTCAATCGATAAAAGGTTTGGAATAAATAACAATCGCTGTTATTCAACCAAAAAGATGGTGCTTAACCTAAATTAGAAACATCCGCTCCGACGATAGATTTTGTGTGTAAGCACCTCTTTTGATTGAAACCATCTTCAAGAGTTTTTACGAAGCTAAGCTATATTCCACCTCAATGAATATTACTCTAAATATCAACTCAAATTTTCCCTAGTTTGTAACCGAAGGGTTAAAAAGATATTGGATTCTTGCCGAAATTCTTCCACATTGATTCTGACCTCATAAGATTCACTGGACTTGCCCTAGCTGAAGGCCTTTATTCAGGCATCCACGGTGGATCAATGAGGAGTAAGCTGTTCATCAGATCAGCTTGCATCGACTAGCAAGCTTAGTGCACTCCTTCCTCGACATCCTAACCATTATTCGAATAGACCTTGGGTCTTCGTTCCTGACTTGTCGTTTAACTTGACTTTTGGTATCCTTGGTTTGAAAAGAAAAAGTGCTGTTCAGCTCTAAATATCCGTCACATCTCCACGTTCATATCCCTGTTCATTTTATGTCAGCTGAATCATCTGGTGATGAGCTTGATATTTCTTTCAAAATCTAGTGACATTAAAGTAAGTAGCATATTGTAAACTTTGAGATATTCTTTTATTAACGTAAGATGATCCTTACCAGTAGGTCTATCAAAACGTTAGGTGTTCCTACATATTCTAAACGGTTTTATCTAAGATTCCAGAACCGTCATTCAAAGCTCGTGATTGTGACCGTCCCTTTCTTTTTTGAAGCAGAAGTGATTTATTAAATTCGATTTCTTAAAGCTTTCAACAAAACTGACAGAAGATTATTGACGAGCATGAAACCCAACAATAAAAACCTTATGCACAACCCTATTTTTTTCACATTACATACGTGTAACGACAATTAGGAAATTAACGCTTGTTCAGAAACATGCCAATATTTATGATTGATCGTTAGAAAAAATGACATTCTTTGTACCTACTCAAACGTGACAGACGTTTACGTATACACTGTCCAATCACTTTCTCACGAGCCGCTTTATTTCTTTGCGCTCAATTCTTGTTCGTTTGGCATGATTCGAAGATTGTATTCATTAAGATCTATATAAAATATGGAACTTTCAGTGAAAATAACATCTTAGAGGCAAAATGTAACATCAAAAGTTCTCACACTTCTTGGAAAATAAACAGTATGATTTGTGAACCGACCAGCGATGCGGAACAGAGTAGCAGCATTTAAGACTTCAGGTGTTTTTATTCGCACCTGAATCCTATAGCTTAGTTCACAAACAACTGTTATAGCTAGACTTGGGAGTGCCAAGTATTGCGTCTAGTGACTAAATTCAGGAGTTAATGTAGGTAGTACAGAACAGAGGTCCTGATGACATTCACTGCTGATGTTAATATCAGCGATTGTTATTCAACAGTAACTGCTAGATAAGGAATATTGAGCCCTAGAGACTGTCAGTTGTCATGTGTTAATAAATTTACATTTTTAGTAGTTATTCCTTCTGTTTTCTGGCTTTAATAATAATAATAATAATAATTTATTCTCAAATAACAAACATGTTACAAGAGACATGCCAATTTACAGGCAAGATCAAAATGTTAAGATTAACAACATATTTCTTTTAAAACGGTATACATTTACTGAAACATTTCACAAGATTCATTGTGTTCTTAAGGATGGAATGTACAATGCGAATAATTGGCGCAAGTTACGAAGGTTGCGTTACGACAATCATCTTATGGACTGAGAAACGATTCATGATAGAGATAGGTTTGCATATAACAAGAATTGATGCGGTAAATGTACAAAGGTATGGTTGATATTCATCAGCTAATGATTTCACATGTTCTTGGCTAGGGTAACCAAGTCTACTGCAAATATCCAGACTAATATATGTGGATTGGAATAAGGTTCTGAAAAAAGAGGAATAACGAAAACGGGACGAGGAGCGGAACAGAAAATACGTTTATAGATAAAACAAAGGCTTAGTGCACAGTTTTATGCCCTCATTATTATGTCGTTAAACTGTCTTACACTACAAAAGCTCCCAAATACGAAGATAATTCGAAGTACAATGACTTGTAAATGGTTATACTAATTTTTTTGAAATCTAAGTACAGAACATGAAAACTCACAAAATATAGGGACACTTATCGGGGTGTACAGCCTCATTTCAATCCGTAATTACAGATTCAGGTAGGCAAGTCTTATAGTAATACAATGATAAATGCCTGCAAATAGATAAACTCTTTTTAAACAGCAAACAGTAGAACAATTCAAACGATAAATATTCTGTAATAGTTTATTCCAAAGGTGTTCAGTCCATTATTTATATTATC